AACTAATCCCAGGAATTGAAGAATTATTTTTGTGTTGGATAGACAGTTTATCGAGGAAGACTTTAGGCTATATCATATCACACTATGACTAATTGTGAGATTGAAGAAAACGTAGGAAAAATGAATAAAAATTATTCATCTATGCGTGCACTGCGAAAACGGTTTAAAAATCCTAAATGTGCAAATAAATGACTTCTTTTTAAATTATTTAAATTATGTCTGGGACAGTATAAATCTAACTTTTAGGACTAACTCGCAAGAATGACTGTAAATGGAAGAATAGAATTAGGGAAAATAACAATTCCTCGGAGGTGATGTTGTGGGCACAGGCAGTAAGAAATAATTTTGGTTTCTTACAGTATTGTTTTTAAACAAAAGAACACGTTAATTCGAAAGAGATTGAAACACATATAATTATTGATATTTGCCAGCATTAATTTTGTTTTATAAATAAATCATACTTATCTCAAAATAATTATGATAAATCTATTCGAAATCGTAATTATTACGTCAACGCGCTCAGAATAAATCTAAATTTCGGGTTCCAGTTTGTATCTGCTACAATTTTCCAGCCCAGTGAACTGTTGGTAAGCTGACAGTGACATAGTCGCCATGTTGTTGTAATAATTAGGATTATTTTTAGGTAAGCAAGAGTTTTACCAACCCTAGGAAGATTACACAATCGAAATATAACCAAAGCGAAGTTAAATACTGTATGTAGTTTACGCGCGTAGTACACATTTAAATAACACACTTTTACGGTTTAAAACGTGAAATGTATTAGTAAAACTTATTAAAAATATATTTTAATTACGGCCCGACTTTTCGGATGCTTTGATCACGGCGAGACTAAAGATGGATGACGTATCTAATGTCAAAGCAAAAACTGCTACGCTAGCGCCATCTGCTCCGTCTTAGTTGGTATTTAGTGAAACTGGTCGGGTCCTTGCAGAATTTAATAACGGCGTCTTCGCGTTTGCCGGTATGCAAAAAGTGAAGTTTTTGAAAAATAAATAATAATAAATTATAGTATATTTTTATTATTTTAATGAAAAAGGTAAAAAATTCAAACTCCTCCCTCTTTAAAAAAAACTCCCCTTTTTTTCACCAAAAATACATATATTTATTATTTTGCAAGCTGGTCACCACACACTCGTGTAGGTGGTCTGCAGTCGTTCGCGGTAGAAAAGTATTCTCTGAAAAACGACTCGTTTTTCGCATTTTATTTATTTAAAATGCGGCTATATTACACTTATATGATCTCTCATATCCAGACAACGCTAGTTGACATTTATGTTTGAAATGTGCAACAGGGATTACCTGCGCTCCATAAATTGTGCGTTATTAAAAGATATATATTTCTAGATAAATGTATAGTTATATTTTTATGATAGCGGAGGACAGACAATGGGGTTCACTTCTTACTTCACACATCTTAACACGATGTGTTGTCGACCTATTCTTGTTTTGAAATTAGCACAGATTGAAACTGAAACGCGGTTACACTTCTCAGCTTTTTAATACGTAACTGGTTCAAGACCGGACAAAATGTAGGTATTACCGTCCATTTAATTAACAAATATGTAAACAAAGGTTTGGGATTTTAGTTAACTACTTCTCATTTACAAAGTTTTAAAAGGAAAACAGACAAACGAACAGATAAAGTCTAAAAACACCCAAATCAAAGCGAAAATATACATTCATTCTAAACTAGGTTGGAAATATAACTCTCGAAGAGACAATACAGCAGATAATTGAGATTTCAGCAGTGTCTCATTATCACAAAGCCATATAATTTAAAAAGTAAAGGACTCTGAATAATTCATAATTTCTCGCTTCCACGTACGGGGAGTCACGTGGCAAAGTCGGTTAAGTCAAAATTTGCATAATTCCGCCCCCGTCTTGCGGGACTTTGAATATTATAAAGTTTCGGATTTCGTGATGAAACAGATGCGAGATTCAGCATTACTTCGAGAAACCCAAAAATGTTACACGTTTAAAATCGCATCGATAAAATCATGCATGACTATGTCAGATACTGTAAAAATATAATATTATATGTATATCGAAGAATTATTATTTTCGTTGATTCCCGCCACTCTTAAATTAATTAATTTATTTATTTACATATAAGACTATCATAACAGATTAGATCCAATGCGACAGATATCTTAAAAACTAAACAATATAATTATATATGATAGAACAGAAATATATGAACTTAAACCACACTATCGTTCATAACTCAAAATAAACTTTAATGTATTTGTGAGTTCACCCCAAGGACTGTAAAAAATATCTGCTTTTTTGTGCAAAACATTTAGGACCTCGACCGTCCTCGTCCATTGTGCCTTTGCCATTAAGTTTGTTCTAGCAAAAGGCACCACGAGAAGAGGTGGCGCGTGTCTTTTGTCCTATAGCAGTAGTTATCAGTATTTATCACAGTATACTCTGTGGTATGTCACGGTTGAATGTCAAGCTTGACAATCTGTCAAGTCACTATGACCCGTCAGAGAGACAGCTGTGCGCCTTTTTTATTATTGCTTAGAATGCACTCAACGGCGCCTGCGCCGGCTGTGTGCATTGTTAATAGGAGAATATCGAAGAATCGAAATGCGTGTAGTTGCTTAATAGAATTGAATTCATTATTTCTGCGTCTGATTTGTTTTTTTTTGTATTTAAATACCGACAATTAGATTATTATATAAACAGCAATTGGGACTATGAACATGATTAAAGCTTTTTTTGTTTTTCTCAAAATATGCTTATCTACTTTCAATATAAATTAATGACAAATATTTACTCATTTTTTTTGTAATTTTTTTTTAACGAAGTACTTAATCTTTACTAGTGCCGATAAGAAGAAGAATTATAGAGGGCATTGTGTTTCAGATTTCTCTTCAATTCAATCAAAAGTGGATCATCGTGGATTTCAGAGGATAGGCCAAAAGGTAAGATAGTTTGTCTATTTTTTTTTCCTGAAATATTAATATGATTACTGAGATAATTTTCATGTATATAATACCATCATGTCAAAAAAATGAAAGTTTTCAATTGTTAAACTTTATAAGTTCATCGTCTTAATACATTAAACCTTAAATGGTAATTGTTAAGGTTGAGATTACGTTATACAAGAGGTGATGTATCAATGTGTGGAATCTACGATAGCGTGTAGGACAACGCACGGTGGATTGGTCGGAGCAACAGCATGGATTGCTTTGATGCTGGTTTGAGTCCAGGCAGTATCGTCAGAATTGTTCAATGTAAATAGTATTTTTTATTTATATTATGCGAAGTCCCGTGTAGGGTAGACGGCAGACACATTTCTGTGTCTATACAGTGGTCGATTTCATAAAAAAAAATTAACACAATTGTGGAAAATTTAATATTAAAATTTTATCCCTGCTGTATATCCGTGTCATGGGAAAGGTATTATATTGATTCAGTAAACACTTTTTGACGGTTTAAAACTGAAAGCATCCCAAACGATTGTAGATACAATTATCCAGTGGATATTCTATGTAGTATTTAAAATCTATAAAATGTATTTTGTTAATTACTATAATATGTAACAAAACACTGGCTGCTTTATAACAGAAAAAAAATTAACAATATATTAAATAAATATGATTGATTGTTTGAAACAAGAAACTAATAACTGTAGCTCTAATAACTCACCAAAACATTTAATCAGCAAATTTTAATCGATTATATTCGCTTCGATGTCTCCGTTGCAACCAATTTTACATTCTGATTGCAATCTGTGCTACAGAATTATTATACGCCGTAGATTTCATATTGGGTGACCATATTCGATAAAAGCCGAGGATATTAATTACATTATATGAAGATATCTAAAACACGAGATACACTTTTCTTTATAAAAAGAAATATAAACTGTGTAGATGGGGCACAGTTTTTTTTAATTCTGTAACGGTAATAGTATTATGAGAACTCTAAGGAATTCCTCGCAATATATTTTTAATACATAATTATGGATATTTTTACACTTATCTTGTTTGTAGCTTACGCCTGTTAGACACATTTCTACAAAACACTTAACGGTTTGAAACGCGAAATATTGTCTATATATTACATATATTTAACAGCTAAACCATCCAATACGTCGCTTCGTAGTTACAATGAAGTCTAATTAATATATTTCATATTTTAGAACAGCAAAAGTGATCTATTTAAATTCTTTACTTGAGTTTATATTTTATATGACAGCATGTCATTAATTATTAATTTCAAATAATATATTCTTCAGTTTTAATTGTGATTTGTATCATAATATGTTGTCTATCGTTATTCTTACTATTCATCAGCAAAATCCTTTGCGAAAGCCTCGTAGACTCGGTCACAAGATATTGAAGCAATGGTAACCCCAAAGGTAGATTAGACCCCATAACGAGGTCCAGTAATGAGAGCCAGTGGCGATTTCGTTAGCGCTAACACCATTTCAAACTAATCACATTTGTCCTTAATTTGATATAAACCTATATTGGACTAGTATATAATAGTTACATTGGTCAAAGTATTATTTACGTATTAGTTACGCTTACTACTTCCATATATTTCCATTTTCATTATTTGAACCAAAAAATGTATTAGTTTTTTTACGTTCCGGGGGCTCTAATTATGCAGGGCATTTAATTTAAGTATATAATATTCACGTAAATAAAGATAAGAAAGCAAAGGGAATATCTTAATACATCCTAAATCATTTAAAAATTGAAAATAAATTGAAAAAATTTTCGACTCGGGCAGCACTTGAAAAAAACAAAGACATTTTTACCACTCTCTATTAATATATTTTCATTCTAGGATATAACCTTATATTAGGTTTGATTACTAGGTATAAGTTTTGATTTTTCCTTATATTGTGTATAACTGTGAGATAACTTATAATTTTCTACTTTATAGACAAGGAATAAGTCTTGATTTTGATTGTTACAGTTAGTGGGATTAAAAAACGTAGCTTATCTGATGGTAGAATGATGATGACTCAACATTTTACGGAGCGAACGCTAACCCCAGGAGGTGATGTAAGTATTCTCTTATATTTAACTAGTAAGAAAATTTGTTTTAAGTAAGGCTGTAAGGATATAGATAGAAGTAAATCATGTATAAAAAACGAGGCAGACAAGACACGAACCCACGACCAATCGCAATGTTTTGATGATGATGAGCTTTCATATTGTCTGTAGCTCCGCCATTGGTTGTGGATTCAATTTCCGTCTGTCAATGTTTTTTTTCTATGATAAAAAAAGATGGACAAGCATGCGGTTCACTCCATGATAGGTAAAATACCCCAACCATATAACATCTAAATAAGATGCGCCGTCGACCTCTTTGGCTTTGGATAATCGGAAATCCACAGACTGAAAGCGAAACGTGATTAAGCCGTGACTTTTTCATCTATGGACGGTGGCGCGTGACCCGGACGGAAATCTGATCTTCCCTAACTTTTATTATCCAGATTTCCAGAAGTACTACATGTTTCAGAAGAAATATAAATTGTTTAGAAAAAATTTGGACCCGACGGGGATTAGTAGCTTACATTTCTACCCTAACACCACTGAGCCCGTAAACTTCATTTGTTCAATCTTCCTAAAATATTGATTCTTTTGTTTCATTAGCTCAGCATGCAATGCGCTGCTACAGCGGATAGACCTCCTCAGTTCACATGGCAAAGGGATGGCATAGTTATAACCAGCAACTCTGATCCCAGGTAAGCTTATTGTTTATGTGTATATCATAAGGCGAGCTAACATTTGCCTCACTGAGGACATACCGTTTTGACGGTGACTATAGATACTTGTACAAGTCATACGTTAGAGAAAATTTTTATTTGCAACAAAACCAATTTTTATCGAGTGAAATTGTTACTATTTAAAAATAAGATGTCTAATTTATGAAATTACAACATTATTACTATATAAAACCTCTTTAATATGTTTACCTAACTGTAATCTTTAAGTTGGCTGCCAGTTGTATTGATTAATCAATTTTTTATAAATCTAAAAAGGAGGTTTAATTCTATAGAAGGAGGAATAAAATAAAAGAAAAAACAAATAACAATTATAGTGGAAGTTTGTATGTAAATACTGTCTGTAGTTTACGCGAGTAGATTTAGATTTAAGTAACACTTTTAACGGTTTACAATGCAAAATATATTAGTTAAACTTATTTACAAAGTATTTTAAATATAGATATTGCGTTTTAAACTGTTAAAAGTATTTTATTCAAAAGTTTGTGTGTGTTTCAAAATATGAATAATTTAATTATTCACATGTTTTTATATAATTTGTATTCCAGTTCGTACCCGTTAACAATTCAATAAACAAAGGCTTTATTTTGATAGGACCTTTATAACAATAAAATGTTTTCTCTAGATATTCATTGGGTCAAATAATGCGACCAGATGGCACTGTTCTCTCTCAACTGAACATCTCCCGAATAAGAGTGGAAGACGGAGGATTGTACTCGTGTATAGCTGAAGAGGGCGATCGTGTTGCTGTTCACGAGAATCGACTGGATGTATATGGTAATACTTTAAACGTAAGAAACTTAGACCGACTCTTTGGTATAATTGTAGCAACATATGGATAATAATCAAATGGTTCGATCTCCAACATGTTTCTAATGAATCTATAATTTGACACGCCTAGAAATCTAGGTATAAAATTGGTACTAGAAATATTAGAAATAGATCCAAAGATGAAGCCGTAAAATTTAATCGCGTTTCGGTATCGGCTTGCAGATTTCCGAATTTATAAAGCAAAAATAGGCCGACAGCGCATCTTATTAAAATTTTATACGGTTAGGGGGTTAGGGTTATTTTACCTTCTATCAAGTGACCCATGCTTTTCTTTGCTCCTTTATCATACATAAAAAAAGTGAAATTCCGTTTCCCCTCCGTGGAGCGTGGGGCGAACACGTTTTGTGTCCGTTTCAGTGATCCATTCTTTAACAGGCAAGTAGTTGATCAGACTTCTGTGCCCTACCCGACCGAAACAATTTCATGTTTCCCTGGGATTCAAACCCAGGACTTCTCGCGCTTAACGCAATGCTAGGCAATACGTTTAACCATTTGGCTTGTATTTTGAGCACGCCTTACTAACTAACCTGATCATTGCTTTGCTTTTTTATATCTTTGTTTTGGGTCTTATTTTATTGAAATATTTCCCATTTACAGGACCGCCTTATATAAGAGCTTTACCACCAATCAAAGTACAAAGCGGCGAAACAGTGAATTTAAGATGCCCGTATTATGGATTTCCCATAAGGTACCCACAATTTCCTAAAATACGTAATTATATTAAGATATGCTGAAAGGAATGCTTCCTTCACAGTAAAATAGACTGGGAGTACAAAGGAACAACGATAACTTCAGACAACCTCTTTCAAAGATACAAACGCAGCCAACATAAGAAGCGAAAACTGCGTCGCAGTGTTACCAACATTCACGGCGTACTCAGCATCTTAGAAGTGAATAAAGATAACGAGGCCTCTTACACTTGTGTTGTGACTAGTCCGTCAGGAGAAATGGCTAGACGGACTTTCGAAATACAAGTAATTGAAGCACCGGTTTTAGAAGACCTATTATTTGGTAATAACCTGCAGGAAGGTCAGATAGTCAATATTTACTGCAATGTAAGAAGTGGCGATTTACCGATACACTTCGAGTGGTTAAAGGATGGAAAACGGATACCCAGTACCTTAAAGGTAACCAAATGTTGAGAATTTCCTAGTGCAAGTAGTTTAAATAAAACACTTTTAATGGCTTAAAACGAGAAATATATTAGTTAGGTTATTTAATAGTCTTTTGTATCATTTTTAGTAGCCGTAAAAATAAGTTACATAATATAAGTTATGTTTTATGCTGTTAAAAATAGTTTTGTTTTAATAATACAAATTAAGTGGAAATTGTTAAGCGAGTGTTTCTAATTTAGGAACCTTGTTTTCATTGTTAAACTATCTGTTTTGAAATAAACCTAAGTACAGAGTGAATAAAAAGAACTTGTCGTCAAAAAGTTGCAAAAAGAGTAAGCGAGTTACATTGTTTCCAAAGGTGGTGGAAAGGAGTTCAGAACTATTCAGCGCTTTAATAATAAAACGAGTCTCACTTGAGCACTGTGGAACATACACCTGTGTCGCTACTAATCATGTCGCTACTGTGAACAAAACTACAGAGCTGTATATAAAAGGTAAGTTTCAATTATTCACTATTGTTTATGTAGTCGTATTTATTCTTATATCTCTCGTCTATGCAGTTGCACCGAAATGGGCTGAAGAACCATCAAATTCATCTCTTCTCCTGGGCAGACGAGGATCGGTATCGTGTAGTGCTAGCGGATATCCAAAACCTCAAGTACACTGGATGAAAAAAGATGGTGATTGTCAAAAAATGTCTTTATAATTTTTGCTGTGTACAAAAATTAAAGTTTTAAACAATAAAACAATTAGTAATCGCCGTTATAACATAAGTAATATTTCAGCTATCCTCGGGACATGGCAACCAGTGCTGGAATTAGCTGGTGGTGGTATTTTGAGCCTTGCAAATGGATCTCTAATTATAGACGAAGTATCTTTGTCTGATGAAGGCCTGTACTCTTGTAACATTGAGAACGGAGTCGGAACACCTCTTAGCAAAACGATTTGGATCACTGTAAACAGTTGGTATTAATCGTCTTTCGTTTTAGGATATTGAAATTTATTTAAAACCGTTCCCAAGTGGGGCATGGGATGAACACATTTTTGTGTCCGTTTATTAACAGGCGAGTAGTTTATTAGACCTCTGTGCCTGGCCCGGCCGAAACAATCAATTGTTTCCCCGAGATTCGAACCCACTTTGATTTATAGACACAGTTACGGCAGTATTTCCCCGGGATTCAAATACAAGACCACAATGCAAGTTCAAATAGCCTCGAATCAAATTAGGGTAAAAATTCATTGATTTTCTCTAATTTAACTATGATTTCAGAACCAGTACATTTTTCTGGATCATCAACAAATGTAACGTCAAGGTTAGGTCAGTCAGTTGGTCTGGAATCTAATGCTTTAGGAGATACACCCATAACTATACAATGGAATAGACATGGCCATGCTATGGACGTACATTCTCACAGGCAAGCAAAATTAACAAACAAGAAAGAAATTAGTTTAAAAAAAGAAGACTTGTATTGAAATTAGAAAAAAAATATTAAAATACTATCTGTAGTTTACGCGAGTAGTACACATTTAAATAAAACACTTTAACGGTTGAAAACGAGATATACATTAATTAAACTTTTTTTAATATTATTATAACTACGGCCCGACGTTTAGGGATGCCTTGCAGGAGTCTCCCGTGACCACGGCTGCTAAGAATCAACTGAAACGTCGGGCCGTAGTTAAAATAAGTTTCATAAGTTTAAAACATAATAAAGTATCATGCATACAAAAAGTATCCATAAACACTAGGGTTGACAGTAGAAAGGAGAAAAAATTAGTTTATGAAATACAATGCTAAATTACAATACTATAAAAAAAGTTATAGAAATTAATATAGGTAGTTTGTCCGACCTGCTCAAATTCATAAAATTTGGTAGAGTTCTTTTGGAAATATGTTTAAAAAGCAAGTATTTCAGATGGAAACTATCCGAAATTAAGACAAATTCAGGCCTAAGGAGTACTATAAACATTCAATACGCGGAAGCAAGTGACGCTGGGTTGTACCAATGTCGAGCTAGCAATCCTTATGGAAGTAGTATATTTAACGTGTATGTTACTATTTTGGGTAAGTAGCTATTATTTATATCCTATTATACCTTAGGACTTCTCCCAATGACTGTAGTCTTATTATCTACTCTTTAATTATATTATTTAATATTCACTGTAATAAAAAAGTTAAATGTAGTGTGTGGTACGAAATGTAACAACGAGCGAGAGGATATGTCTGGAAGGGAGGGAGAAAAAGATCAAACATGGCGAGTTAAGTCGTAAGGCGTAAAGAAATAAAACGTATTATTTTAAGAGAGACGAATTTAAAGACTTATTTATCTATATTTTATTTTGGTGCTCGCAAAATTCCAACATACAACTTAGTATTAATCGGCTAGTTTTTGTTCTAGAACCACCAACGCCGCCAACCGAACTCCGAGTCGAAACGGTTCTATCACGGGTCGCTAGTATAAGCTGGCGTACTAGCGATCGCGTCGGAGCCCGACATTACACAGTTCAATATGCACCAGCTCATCTTAACGATGTACGATGGGAACTGGCTAGTACATTAAATATTTCCAGGTACATTCACCAAATTCTAATTCGAAAAGCAATAAAAATTGCATAATCGCGTAATGGACAGCCAACAATAGATCTATTGCAGGAAAAATAACAAATGCATGTTATTCTATTGTTTTTAGCAATGATAATGAAATTCGACAATCATTCGAGATACAGAATCTGCGTCCAGCTAATAATTACGCCGTTAGAGTGGCGACTGTGAACCAGGTTGCTGTCAGTCGGTATACGGAACCCGTTCATTTTACCACGCAAGAAGAACGTGAGTCTTTCTTATTCGTATAGTCAACAACATAGGAACTTATTATTTTAGAGACTTGAAGCAAAGAAGGAATTTTAGTCTCAAAAAGTGGAATCCCGTTTCCCCCTCGAGGCCTATTGCCCCATACAAACTCATTTCTGTGCCCAGATTTATTTACTAATTAATCATTAACTTTTGTGTCCTGCCCGACTGGAACAATCAATTGTTTCCCCGAGATTCGAATCCAGGGCATTGACTAATTAGCTACACCAGCGGTCACTATTTTATTTATTTCATATAGAACTTTCAATTTTTTTTTTAATTTAGCCATTTTTAAATGCAAAGGCTGTAAAGATATTAAATATTTAGCGCCATCATCGCCTCCCCAACAAATCCGAGTCTCCCAAACTGAAGAACCAGGTCAGCTAAGAGTATGGTGGTCAGCTCCAGATACCTTGTCCCACAACGGCCACATAACAGGTTATCATATTAAGGCTGTACCGCAGAATGTTGGACCAAGTAAGTAAAAAATACACGAGCAAGTAGATGTTAAATTTCTTCAAGGGAACTCCTCGTTTGTCTTCTCTGCTATAAATAAAAAATGGGAAGCTGTAGGGATAGTTCTTTGGTGCAACATGGAATACTGTCAATCAGTCGATTTATTATTTTTTATAAATAGTTAATATTAACTAATAATATAATAAACAACAGAGCAAAAAAAATAAACTAAACGATTTACCATTTAGTACTTATCGATTTTCAAATAGCTGTTCGTAAAATTTTGCTATAGGTAAAAAGATTCTCTTTATTTTTTTTTAAGATTCTCATTTTAACATCATATCCACTGCATATCCAGGATAATAAAACTTTATAAGGAATAGACGGAGAGTAGGATTTTGTAAATTTTATATTTCACACTCCAATATCGGGTCTTGGACATATTTTACTGCCTATAAAAGTCATATAAATTTACAGTTTTGCCTTTTCATTTGTTTTCCTTGTCTGGGTGCTAAAAGTTTTATGGTTTTTCCAATCGAAATGTTTGAAGTCGCGATTGATTTTAATAGCAAATAAAATTAAACTTCAACATAAGTCCCCTAATTGTTGTAATAAAACCAACATTTTAATTGATTTTCATACTGTCAGCCAAAATTGGTTGACAGCGTACCTTATTTAGATGTTATTATATGCCTGGGGTATGTCACTTTCCATTAAGTATTTATATTTTTTGTAGTGTTCCATCCTAAAAGAAAAGTCTAAATAGTAGTTAATTGTTTATACTCTTACTCAAGTTTCAGAGGAATCTGATACTAGAATGATGAAAGTGTCACATCAGACAGGAAAACAGGAGACGACGATAAGTGGTCTACTAAAAAATACAAGGTGACTAAAATTCCTTTTTTAAAGATTCTAAAGGTCTTCAAAAGGTATATTTTTTTTTTTAAAAAAAAAAAAAAAAAAAAAAAAAAAAAAAAGGGGGGGGGGGGAAAAAAAAAAAAAAAAAAGGAGGTTAAAATGCATTCCTAACAGTTTCACAAATAGTTAAATATATAATAGTTATATAAATAATAGTTATATAACATCTATTATGGTTAATTTATTTTTTATTCAGATATGCCGTATCGATATCAGCTTTTAACAATGCTGGTTCTGGTCCTTTTTCCCTACCAGTGTTTCAAGAAACAAGAGAAGGAGGTAATGTGTTTAATTCTTCTTCATGAAACTAATTTCCATTAGCACCAATTACTATCAGGACTAATTCTTTAGTATTGGACTTAAATGAAATATTTCTGATAGCTCCCGAAAGTGCACCATCCTCCGTCGAATGTACAGCTGTATCTCCCACATCATTGAGGATTGGCTGGCAGCCTCTAAGCGCCCCAAGACATGGTACTGAAATCTTGGGATACTCAATACTGTATGCGTCTGAAGGTACCAATGCTGTTCAGTCTTTGTGATATTTTATATGTCTCATAAGTTAACGGTGAATGAAATGAAATTTTTAGAGAGTGATTGGCAGAATCAGACATCTCTTCATACGGAACAATATCTACAGAATTTGTTAAAATACGCTAACTATACTATTAAAGTAGCTGGATACTCTAGTTATGGAGTGGGGCCTTTTTCATATCCTATTGTCTGTACTACATTACAAGATGGTAAGTGAATTAATTAAAAAATGTTTTTTTTTACAGTCACAGACAGTTGAAGTTATTCGTAATTAATTATAAAACGTATTAAGCACTGTTAAAATAATATAACATTTATTAATAAATATTAACATATAAATTTGTTTAAAAAAACACGTTTAAGGTTTAAAACGCGATGTATATAAGTTAAACTAGTTTGAAAATTATTTTAACTACGGCCCGTCATTTCGGATGCTTTGCAGCAACCGAAATGACGGAGACCGAAGAATATGTTATCAAAAACATAAATATCTTTATAATTACTATTATAAATAGATCATATTTGTTAAAATTTACAATATTTTTTAACACATAGTGCCATCACCACCGGCTGATATTAAAGTATTAGTACTGTCACCGACGGCATTGCTTATAAGTTGGAAGCCACCAGAAAAACCAAATGGGGAAATTCTCTATTACACAGTTTACGTTAAACCAGTCGGGTAAGAAATTAATGATCTAGTGATGATTTTTTTTTAGTATAAAGTGTTATAAAGGAAAATATATATATTTCAAATAACTATAGGAGTGCTGGCGATGCAGTAATAACGCAAAGGATGGAATCAAGCCGGTACACAGCGGAAGTAACGGATTTAAATACAGGCCGTACTTATGAGGCATGGGTATGTGCGTCTACCCATGTTGGCGAAGGTCGTGCTAGTAAGCGACTAACTCAAACGCCCACAAATCGAGGTAATAATGGTTATTTTTACTTTTTGGTCTTATTGAATGGTTAATTGTATGGAACTTTGGGAAAACATGTGTCTTTGAGTTATCCTACCGTTGTAATTGTGGAATTGCTTTTGAGAAGTGGAAAGCATCAATAGACATTGAGAGTTTCTTATTCACAACAGCGTAATAGGTTGAAAACCCAAGCAGAATACCAACATATAAGTAATCCAATGTTTGAAATAGTTACACGTGTTTTTTTATTATAGTCGTAGCAGGCGTATCATCGTTAGGAGGAACGATATCCGTTGGAGCTGGTTCATCTCTCCTATTGAGATGTGAATGTGTAGGATCTCCAGCCGCACGTACTGTATGGTACCACAACCATAATATTATCACTCACCATCCCAGGTTCACCAGAAACCATGACGATACGTTACTTATTAATAGTAAGTCCTTTAAATCAATTTTATGGGTTTAATAAGGCCATCTTAAATTGTGTAATTTTTTAGATATAGACGAGTCTCTGAGTGGTAACTACACGTGCCTAGCTAAGAACCTATATGGATCAGATTCTGTCAAGTACACAGTAGTAGTCCAACCTTTACCTGATTCTCCAGAACTCCGAGCTACACCATACAAAGACTCAATATTGGTTGAATGGGAACAGCCACACTATACTATGATGAATAAGACGTTGGGACAAAAAATAAGTAAGGAATACAATCTTATTATTATTTTATAGCACTATAACTTAAGCTAAGCTATTTTGTATCTCTCAGCTTATAGTCTTACGTGGAAAGAGGCAAATGGCCCATGGCAAGAGGCGTGGCCAGCGAATGAGTTACCAAATATATTAAATACCCAAAAACATACACTAACGGGACTAAAGTGTGGTACAAAATATTCGCTAAGAATCACTGCTACTAACAAAGTGGGAACGTCCCAACCAGCATATTTGGATATTAGCACTTTGGGAGGAGGTAGGTATCTTTAATTATAAATAGCAAATGTATGGGACTAGACATAATGACATGATATATCTTATAGTGCCTATTCCACCAACAACAAATGAATGGTTATGGAGCAATAGCTCTCATGTCTATATACAATTAGCGGGATGGGACGAAGGTGGATGTGAAATGAGAGCGTGGGATGTGGAGTATCGAGCACTTGGAGCAAGAGTTTGGACGAGAGCAAGAAACACGCTGGTAATGTATTAGCAAAGATATTTCTCCATAAGTTAAATAAAGATATTTTCACGCTACTTCTGGTTCAGCACAAATAACCGATAAAAAAAAGAGAGATAAGAGAAGTCCAGAAATTCAGTTTATGTCTATTAAACTAAATAAATGCTTTTATTATCAATTGATTTATAATAGGGTAAAAATTCTGCGTGACCATTAGAATTATTCTTATATAGGGTGACATAACATTGTTTCTAAGTATTCTCGTCTCTCGTAGACTTATGCAGATACAAGTTGGAGTTTGCCTCTCTACCAAGTTCCTAGTTACCGTTCAAGTTCATTTGCTATACCTGACCTCTCTCCTGGTACTTGGTATCAATTGCGAATCACGGCCACAAATGAAGCTGGAAGTATGAACAGTATTTACAATTTTGCAACTAAAAATATTGATGGTAGTAAGTATTTTGCATTTTAAATAATTTGAAGTTCTTAATTCTCAATAAATGTATTCTTACATTTGATTATTTATAAACAGGTGAGGTCGGACCACCCTCGGAGATTTTCGACTTAAATATGCTCGTTATAATATCTAGTTCAATACTGCTCTTGCTATGTCTAATATGCTGTATATATATTTTACTAAAGAGGCAAAGGTAAGACAAAACAAATTGTATAATGCCTTATAATACTATTATAGTGCACACACATAAATATACCACAGTGTATAAATTAATTATTTGAAATAATTAAGAAACGAAACTTCACGTTCAACTAATTATAAACTTCAGTGTAGTCTCGAGAGACTTAAAAACTGTGGCACACTTAAAGTTTATGAAGTTTAATAAGAGCGTCTTACTGTTGAATAAACGTAAAGAAATTTAAACTACTAGGATTTTGTTAAAGTATACTATCCGATTAAGAAGTTCTTCGTTTCTTAAATTTCTCCTTATACTTGGGACTTCTATTTTCAGAAATGTAAATTTCACCCAATACAGGGATTCTTTGACTATCGACAACAAATCCGAGAATGGAAATCTTGCGAATAATATATCGCACAACAATCTTACTAGTGCTGTCAAAGATAATGCTTTGAACGCTCAAAACAGGATCTATAGTACTCCTATACCAGTCAGAAATAACAGTAAACATGGTATGTAGTTTTTAAAAATGAAAAATAATCTTAAAAAAATCCGATAGTCAAGACGAGTATTGCTGTTCGCAAGTCCTAACATTATTTACATTAGTAAATATTTAATTAGTTAAGCAATTGAAAATAGATAAACAATCTAATAAAACATTAAAAATTAACGACTCTTACAGGATTGGAACCGGCATCGTTGGTGTTCCGTGCTTTTGCTCTAACCAATTAAGTTACCGAGTCATCGTCGAATTTTTTCAACCTATTGATACATGCACCTCTCAAGTATTGTAATGTATGTTGTCGGTTAGAGCAACAGCTCGTAACATTGTGGATGGCAGATCAAATCCTGCACGAGTAGTAAATTGTTGTAATTTATTTTCGATTTTTAATTCATATAGTGTCATCATTATATAGGGCAATGTGTGAAAAATATTTAAATATTAAAAAAAATTGAAAGTAAATTAATTTTTATTAACTATTGTATATACATTTTGCCTTCTAGAATTATATGAAATAAGCCCATACGCACAATTTGCTGTTGGCTTTAGGACATTTGGACATGTGGATAACCAGGATCCACCGATTGGAAACCACAAACATAAATATTGTGATACAGGTAAAAAAATTGCATCCTATAAAATATTTTGTAGTTTATTAGTAATTTATTTAGTTAGTAGTTTATTGTGCCAATCAAAATAAACATCAAAAATACAAAGCCATATGTTTTTATAAACTAGTTTAAGGTAAAGTAACAGCATACTACGCTATATGCTATCCACTATGATTCTAAAATCGATTCTTGTTATCATGGAACATGTAAAATTAGTAATCTCTCTATACTAATATATAAAGCGGATAAGTTTGATTGTTTGTATGTTTGAACGCGCTAATCTCAGGAACTACTGGTTCGAAAAAATTGTGTTGGTTAGGGCATTTATCGAGGAAGCCTATAGCTAGAACTTATTGCGTTGTGACTAATAGGAGCGAAGAATCAGCGAAAAAAAAACAGGGAAAATCCTTCACCTTATATCGTGTTTCCAATCCGTACGCTACGAAATCAGTTCAAGATTCCTCGTAAAATAATCTAAAAAAATGTTGCCACACTATGTGTCTACTAACTACTACTAAAATAAATCTATTCTACGCGGACGAAATCGCTGGCACAGCTAGTACTTTAATAAATTTATAATATTATATACCTTTATCCTAATTATCACATGAAATAACAATTTTTCCTTTTTTATAGAAACAAGTTTCCAAATGTGTTCCGAATGTGAGGATAGCGACACAATATCGAAGTATAGCGGAAGTAAATGCTCTAGAGGTAATTTTTGTATTAAAACATTTAACGGTTGGAAACGCGAAACATTTGACTTTAATTATTACGTTTCGGATGTTTATCGGAAGGTTATCAAGCTCATAAAATTGTAAAAGTATACTTAAAATGAGTTATTAATAGTCGTGTTTTAAACGGTTAAGAGTATCGTGTTAAATGTATTATCAATCTTGTATTTCATATAAAAGAGGGAATGATCATTCTTAGTGAATGAATATAATGGTATTTTATTTCTCTTAACAGAAACATGCAGAACCCCCCATCACAGGTAGCTACGCGAGAAAATGGCAGCAAATATAAAAAGAAGAAAGAATTGAGTATCCCAGATAGAACATATGGAAATCAAGGTAACATACTATGTTGGAAAATAACAAATATACCTACATACAGTAAATTAATTATTGAAGTACGAATTAAGATGATGATCAATAAATTCATCTGAATAAATTAAAATGTATTTTTATCATAATTTTAAATATATGTTTGTCTACAGGTTTCCAGGTACCGACTTAACAACAAGAGTTATCTTTGTTTGAAAAAAGAACAAACAAAAAACGGTTGTGTTAAAATTATATCCGATTTTCAAAATGTAAATAAAGTAGCACACGAATAAAAATGTAATTAAATTCCGAACTTTTTAGACATTTCGTAGAATTAAATTAGGTATAAGTTTTTAAATGTGCCAAATTATATCCATTTAAAATTTATAGTAGATTTTAATACTCTGTTATAATATGATAACCGATATAGTAAAATACCGGTTTTTGTCGGGTAAAAATGAAATTAAACCTATCAAGAACCGGGGCTAGTTATAGAATAATGTTTTTAAATTCCAATGGATTTTATCTTGCGAAAGACTGATGTAATAGTTAAACTTAGTTTCAAGAATTACAATTTAAGAAAATCACTTATCTTTTATTTCATTCACCTTAAAACACCGACAAGCAGATTTTTAAAATACGTATAAACGTGTAATATTTGTATGGAAAACTTTAAAGTTTCAAGTAACCGGCAGCGCTATTAAGTTTTCTGCAAAATCTTGTCATAGTTAACGAGTATGAGGCAGAAAAGTGGATATCTACTTAACTTCCTATATTCATAACAGCTCGCTGTAACTTTTCAACTAGTCTCAAGCACTTTTTCGACTTTTACGAGGCAGAATTCCCTTTGAGCGTGTTTAATTGATCAAATTCATTATAGATGCGATCAAACTACGGAAACTTTTTATATTTCGAATATCGAATCTAAGACATATGTTATAACACATATGTTATTAATACTCAAGCCGTTATGCGATTTGTGGTACGAAATGACGGCAATAGCTCAAAACGTGTTTTATACCGCAATCCATCACGGAACATGCATGATAAATAAACGAAAAACATTTATTAACTATCAAACAATCCTCTCCAACTTGCAAACAATCCGAGTGAGTTTGTTGAACAAACAAATAATTAATCTGTGGAGAGTGGAGGGTAGTTTAATTGTTTTGGGGTCGCAATTCCGAATGTTTCCGGAGTTGCTAGTTTCGTGACGAGGATTGATGTAGCTGACTTTACACTTTGCTTTGAACGCCATTACATTTTAATGTCGCTTAATGGAAATTTATATTATTTATAAACGGAAATTAATGTCTGGTTTGAGGTTAATTGACGGAATCATTTTGTATTGTTCAAAAATTCTAAATTATTATATATTTGGTACATGAAACTTAAAAGGCTGAGAACGATATTTGGAGAATGAAAAAGATACTATAAAATTAGGTAGTGTACATGAGTATACTTTCAATAAAATAAGAAACGTTAATACTCTTATTTTAAACTACGAAATATATAAGTTAAATAACGTTTAAAACTCTTTCGGTTTTTTTAATACTAAGTTTTAATAACTGTAACATCAAGGCACAGACAAGTTTTACTATATTTACTAAATCTTTATCTACGTAGCTAACGATAAAACTCGGGCGTAGTGTTTAATTTGAGCGATAGAAAGTGTATTACGTACCTATATTATATTACAATTAACTCTTTGGTCAAACCATACCAATCAAATATGAAGAAAAATAGCAAGCTATTGAAAATCTATATTAAAAAATTAGGCTGAAGAGTTTGTTTGAACGCGCCTTTGGATAACAACTATAGTTTATAACAATGAGACAAACTTTAATGCTCAAAATAACACACACACAGCTTGTGCACATGTGATTCTTATTATTTAGAGTAAGATACTTTCTTATAGGAGGGTAAATCGGTTCGCTACGTAACGCGTTACATCGTAAATCTATCAACTTATCCCTTCTGTCAGGCATCTTGAAACCAATACATATTTTAAACTAATACAAACAGTGCACCGTAAATAACTTGGATATATGGACTGCTGGTGACAGTGGCTGTTAGAAGCAGCCGATTTATAGCTATTTCATGTCAAAGACAGTCCTGTGGCATTTACAAATGGAGATCATATTCCATCGGAATCTCAAGCAGATATCACTACATAGTACAAATCACTGGAGGCCTCAACTTAAGTCTAGGCACTCAAATCTCTAATACATAAAATTGATTTTACGCTGTATTAGTGCAAAAACTGTGTATGTGGTGTAAATATTTTTCAGTTAACCTTAACTATGGTTTAACTTAACATCAGGTGAGGTATAGCCAAATGTTAAGTATTTCACAAATCAATAACAATAATCTCATGATGTATGTAAACGTCATAAAAAACGAGTTTTGAATATCCCCCATACACATAAATAAATTACATCGAAAGCTATCACAAACGCAATCTGGAAGTTGCCTACTTATTAACGACACATAACTTTAATCAGGAAAGTTATATTGGATTCTGCGAACTTGCTAAATTAGCTTCGAGACATCGACACAACCTACGTATTGACGAGGTGAGTTTGTTACATAACATTTGTAAATATAATTTATATTTATATACGCATTTCGGCTATAGATAACTAAGAATCGATTTTAGTTATCCATAGCAACCCTTCTTTGGCATTAAAAATTAGCCTATGTCCTTTCTCAGGCACGCTAAAATATCTGTGTACCAAATTTCATTTAAATCAGTTCAGTAGTTTCAGAGTTAAAGCCGGCCAGACAGACAGACAGAGTTACTTTCGCATTTATAATATTAGTATAGATGGTCAGCCGATTTCACTTGGTCTATCTGTATTTAAATACGGGGCTGACATTACATACTTTGACCTTTTTAACACATCAAGAACATTGTCCCAAATTATTATCTAGGAAGACATAAAATATTTTGGCGTGAGAAAAGTAATATAATGAATATAAAACATAATATACAATGTCAGCATTTTTTCCACGATGGAGAAACGGATTTTCACAGTAAAGAAAACCCAATGTTACAAACATTATTTTCAATCATCGTAACTAGCGATTTCTCAGTACTTCGTACCAACTTAATATTTTTATCACCCAATTTCTGAGACCCAACAATCCTCCGTATACTTTTTGTCCAATATTTTCCAGGACAATTCACGCTCGCGTTACCCTGTCACATCAAGTTGTTCCGTTCAACGCGTCTGACTACGCCAGACGGCTACAAATGGACGTGATTTACCATTTATTTTATATATTTTGACGCTGTTTATTGTACGAAATAGTTTTATTGGGTCGAGCTAAACGTCCTGTGAAAGTTTATGTATTTGTACTAGGAGATAAGGAATAAATATATATTTGACTAGTTTTAAGCTAGTAATAGGGTTTTGTTAAGATATTATTCGTATTCCGATTTACTGTAAACCATTGAAAAACATGATATAAGTGTTTATAATTTGTATTTTTGAGTACTACCTACTTAAAATTTAAGATTGTGAAGACTGTACCAACAGAATTATTGTAAGCGCAAGAGGTCCTTAGACAATCTTAAATACAAAATATTGCTGTTCTATATTTTCTATAAAACTTATTATTAATTATATTATTACATTAGAAGAAAATTTAAGACATTAAACAAGATACAATATTGACAGATAGTCGTTTATTTATTTACCGAGCAGAAAGACAAATTATGGCGTGGTATCGCTGTTGTTAGACAGAATAGAAGAGAAGAATAGCTTTTAACTAATAACAAATGAAACTATGTTAGTTCCACTATAGAAAAAATCTATACTCCCATTCTCTCTGAAGAACTGCAATGGCTTTAGATGGTATCAGTAGATCATAGTAATTAAATGATAAGCTAAAAGCAAATTAACGACATCAAATATTATATTATAGTGTCTGAAGTTTACACGAGCAGTACACATTAAAATGAAAGACTTAAAACGCGATATATTTTAGTTAAACTTGCTTGCCTGCTTGCATTTCGAAAGTTTCCGAAACGTCGGGCTGTAGTTAAAAATAATTATGAAAATATAGCGCGTTTCAAACCGTTAAAGTGTTTTATTTGAAATCAAATATTGTAATTATTGTATATCGGGCAGAATGTTGAGTAAAACATAGTGTCAATTTTAACCACTAAATCCGGCATAATATTCACGATGTTCAGACGCTTTAACTTCTACTATTTCCAAGTTAACAATGAAGCGGTAAATAATTATATAGGTATAATTTAATAATCAGTAATAGGATTATGTTAGCTGTTACAACCTTTGATTTACGTTATAATGTATAACGGTCTCTAATAATATACATAGCCAGGTTGTTTATTATACGGTTATAGACAATAAATTTTAAATTTTCTTAGTTTATGGAAGTCATATTATCTGTAAGTGCGCGCTACTACCCAAAATGTTTTCTAATGTATATTTTATCCAAAAAGGAGGCCGTAGGCTGTAATGCCTTCCATTCATCACAATAAATGTTTCAAAAGCACTTACGGCCATGAATTTTTCACGTTTCACTTTACAAGTTGGACGCACCTGGCGTAGACGCAAACTCGAGTGGAAAACTTCGAATATAAAGCTGATAAAAGTTTGTGATATTGCTCTGTCGTCTACGAATCTGTTGTCGTTTATTTACGAATCAAAAGACGAGTAAGTGAGCCGAGACTTCCTTTATATAACACTTCTACTCGAATGTTGGCAGCCATAATGAATAAGAATGTTAAAAATTATATATATTTAGTTTAATACTTATTTATAACATGATGAGAAAGCGTAACTAATTTCTTATGCACTTGATGTGAACATTATCATGACGTCTGGTAATACGAAGATACTATCAAAGGCTTATGTTCCTCTCTCTTTCTTCTTTATAAATACATCTTAAAATATATAGCATCATTCTATAATGTATATTCTTGAATTTCTCAAACATTTTTTCTTTTTTTCCACATTTCTCTCTGCTACTTCCCCATCTCTTGCCTTGATTTTTTATAGCCTGTAACCTTTCTCAATAACACATAACACACAAATATAATTTTTCAATTCGAAGCAGGAATGGTGCTCACTATAAATATGTTACGCAGACATTTTATCACAGAGCGCGTGTTTACTGCAAATGCTCGATTACACGCGAAAATTTAGTCAACACTAGAGGAATTTGCATGCGTCATATTATTTAAAAGTAACAGAAAATATGAGATGGTTCAAAATGAGTTATATAGATGTTTGTTTGATAGAGGAGGACAGACAAGCATGTGCGTGGTTCAATTGATGGAAGGTGAAATTCTGTCGACGATTTAGACTAAAGATATTCATAGACTGATTTTACATCCGTGGACAGGGTGCCGTGACCCGAAACTAATTTCGTTATTCCTACCATATATTAAGCATGCAGATACGATGTCCAACGTGTTTCAGAAAAATTATAAATCTATTTGATGTTGGACCCGACGACCCGTTAATTATAACCATACATTGATACCATGACACCAACGAGCCAGTTAAAGAAATAGTTTTAATAAATAGAATTCTCTCCTTAATAAAGCGAAAGTTATCTACAGTTTCACAACGCCAGATGAATCAAAGTACTGTGTGCAATCTCTGTTAAGGTCTGACCCCAATTTGCACAGTGACGTCACAGAAGAGCACAGCGTGGCTTACTAGATTTGTCACTGACAGTCACATTGAGGGCACCTGAATTCATGATAACCGCTCTTCGTGGTCTTATTATTTTCAAAGTGCAATACTTTTAGAGTAAAAGTTTTTATTTTGATCTTCTGAAATCCATCAATTTAAATATGGTTGTAGCTTCAAGTCCCGCGCGTATCACAAACATTTCATTTAAAAAGCTGTGATTTCATGAAAGATACCTTTGAAAAAGTGTTTTTTTTTTAATAGGTAAATTGATACAACCCCCTTGATAATAATCAACTTATTTCTTATTAATGTAAAATACAAAAAACCTATTTGTAAAAATGGCAAATATTCTATGTTTGTTGTATGCAAAGATTTTAAAATTTGGAGCAAATTTTTTTGAACCTGCGCACATAAAACATTAACTAAGCTAAGAGTTACAACATATATGATCAATTCACTTAGATGAAAGACCCATTCTGTATTCCGTATTAGGCTATCATTTAAAGAGGTCCTTGGCGATCAAACAAAGGGTCTCAATTGAGTCCGTGAGTAAAAACGGTCCTTGTTTGCTAAACCCTTGCGAGTTAACGAGACTATTACACTAGCGAGCAACAGAACAATGCTGTATAATTATATTTATTAGAATCGAGTTTAAGAACAAAACTAGCTTTTTTAGTTTTTTTTTTGACTTCAAATAATGTTTTTATTGTAAGTATTCAACAATATAGTTTAAAGTGTTTAATAATTCTTTAGTTTGTATTGTTATCTTACAGATTTCTTAAGAATTCTATTTGAAAACTTCAATATTTTTCACATGAAGGCACTATATATTTACAAATCGAAAATAAATTGAATAAAATTTCGACTCGGGCAGGACTTGAACCGGCATGGTCAGCGTTCCGTGCTGTTGATCTACCAATTGATCGAATAAAAATATAAATTGATTAAATAGTACTTGGTAGCTCAATTGGTAGATCAACAGCACGGAACGCTGACGATGCCGGTTCAAGTCCTGACCGAGTCGAAACTCTTTTCCGAAATTTATTTCCGATTTTTACATTTCACATACAAACGCTTTCAATAAAACTGCAATTAATTAATGATATTATATGTCATGTCCAATTTGTTTGCAATTGAGTGTACAAACTTGTTAGATCGTCCTCATGTGAAGTGACAATTTGCGAAAGATAAAGGATTGCCGGAGATAAAAAGAGGTTTTAAATATTAAAGAGGCCTAAATATCTTTTGAATACCTCCATTTTGATTAGACAACTTCAATTTTTTACTGCGTTTTAATTAAAATGTTCTCTACTGTTCTAAAAACTACAATTCATATTTAAAAATGTCATACAAAGCAACATTCGCTATATAAGAGAAAAATTAAAAGGAGTTTTATAAAATTACACCCAATGAGATAAAGGAACGCAAAGAATAGTAAAAGTGGTATGTGTTAGTCATATGACCGTCATTATTTATTATGTACCTAGATATTGATAATAATTGATTGTGGAAGTGAAGAAAAACAGATACCTTGATTGCGCGAGAGGTGCATCAATAGATTGAAAAAAAACGACGATGGCATATAGGACACGGTGGCTTAGAGCTACGCCACGGAGCGCTGTGGACGCCGGTTCAAATTTTGCCTGTGTCGTAAATTTTTGTAAATTGAATTTTCTGGAGCCCACTCTTCCTTATTTTTCCAAAAGCAATTTAAATCATAATAGGTAATACACCTTCCAAAAACCCTGTTGCCCCTTATTCGGAGTATTGGACAAATATTTATTAATATAATAATCTATACGCTTTACGTAGCAAAACTATCTACTACTTCCTACCAAAAAGATTTAAGCTACTTCTATCTCTTTTTTATGATATTAGACAAAATGATTGGGAAAAAGTTAAGAGTAAAAAAATATGTACGAAAGAATTATTTCTCTTAAAATGAAGTAAAAAACTGGCCGCGACTAGTATGTATGTATATTTTCTAATATTAACCTTAAAGGCTGGCACTCGTAGGCAACAGCATACATTTATAGGGTTGAACAGGAGGTTTTCAAAAACACATTTTGATCTTGTAAATAACTATTCTTGCGGACAAAGTCGCTGATTGTTTACCAATAAGTCTTATTTTTTTATGTAGCTTATGGTAGTAAATAAATTTCTTTATTCTTAATATTTATATACTACCAGCGTGATTTAAAATAGAAAATATACTAGCAGATGGTTAAACTAACATTTTATATCGGTCCACAGTTCCTATGAAAGGCGTTCAATCGAGCTTTAATGTCAGCTGTATCCTTTATAAAAGAAGTTCAATTTATTTTATGAACAGCATGAATGGTCCAATGAAATGGTTTGAAACACATTTGAAATGTGAATCTCTACAAGTGAAACTTAACGGAAATGTTTAGTTTTACTAAAAATATTTATCGTGTTTAATTTATTTTCTTAGATAAAAAAAATGTTTAATTATTGCCATGTCATATCTAAATAAAATAGATTTGATTTTGACATTAGAGGCACAAGAGGGCAATAGGGGGTTGAAGGTGGACTATCAACCCCCTCTTGACTACGATAAAGCATCCAAAACG